GATCCCATTTGTCAATTTTGGCTTTTGTTGCCATTGCTTTTGGTGTTTTAATCATGAAGTCTTTGCCCATACCTATGTCCTGAATGGTATCGTCTAGGTTTTCTTCCAGAGTTTTTATGGTTTTAGGTCTTATGTTTAAGTCTTTAATCCATCTTGAGTTAGTTTTTGTATAAGGTATAAGAAAGACTTCTTCTTTTCTATTATGTGCATTTAATGGTATAAATTTCCCTCTTGTAACACTGTTTTAGCTGTTTTCCACAAATTGGTATGTTGTATTTTCATTTTCATTCAGTTCAATGTATTTTTTGTAATTCAAGACTTGCTCACTGACACACAGAAGCATACTGTTTAGTTTCCAAGTATTTGTAGATTTTCCTATTTTCTGTTAAACTCATTTCTAGTTTAATTCCATTCTGTTTGGAGAATACATTCTGTATGATTTCAATACTTCAAAATCTATCGAGGTTCATTTTATGGCCCAGGACATGGTCTATATCTTGGTACATATTCTGTGGGCACCTAAGGGATGCTGAAGTCTCCAACCATAATTGTGAATTTCTCTATTTCTCCTCGCAGTCTATCAGTGTTTGCTTCACATATCTGGTACACGCACGTTTAGCATTGTTACATCTTTCTGGAGGACTGATTCTTTTATCATTATATAATGTCCCACTCTGATAATTTTTTTTTTTTTGCTCTTAAGTTTACTTTATGTGATATTAATGTAGCTACCTATCATTTTCAACCTAACTGTACTGGTATATTTGAAGTGAGTTTCTTACAGATACCATATAGCTGAGCCATTGTTTTTAAAATTCTCTCTGCCAATCCCTTTTGATTTGTGTATTTTGACCACCAACATTTAGTTATTGATATATGAGGGCTTACATCTGCCATTTTACTTTTTTTCTATTTTCTTTCTCCTGCCTTCCTGTAGGCTAATCAAATCCCTTGGCATTCCTTTATTCCCATGGCTTATATTATTTCTGGAATACACTGATAATCACATCAGACAGTGTTTGTTTACTTCAAACATCAAACATAATTTGCAAGACTTGAAGAAAAAAGTCTATCATATTTATCCATATTTTTATTTCTTATTTTTCTTCTTTTATGGTTTTCTAAGATTCTTTCTTCAATCATTTCACTTCTATTAGAAAACTTCCTTTAGCCATTCTTTTATGCAAATACTCTGCTACTAACAAAGTCTTGGTTTTTCCTTCTCTAAGAATGTCTTGATCGCACCTTCATTTCGAATTTTTTTTTCTTTGCTTGGTAAATGATTCTGGGCTGATAGTTCTTTTCTTTCAGCTCTTGAAAAACACTGTGCTACGTATGTTTATTACGGCACTATTCACAATAGCAAAGACTTGGAACCAACCCAAATGTCCATCAATGGTAGACTGGAATAAGAAAATGTGGCACATATACACCATGGAATACTATGCAGCCATAAAAAAGGATGAGTTCATGTCCTTTGCAGAGATATGGATGAAACTGGAAATTTTAATTGTCAGCAAACTATCACAAGGATGTTCTCACTCATAGGTGGGAAATGAACAATGAGAACACTTAGACACAGGGTGGGGAACATCGCACACCCAGGCCTGTTGGGGGTGGGGGTGCTGGGGAGGGATAGCATTAGGAGAAATACCTAATATAAATGACTAGTTGATGGGTGCAGCAAACCAACATGGCACATGTATTCCTATGTAACAAACCTGCACATTGTGTACATGTACCCTAGAACTTAAAAGTATAATAAAAACAAACAAACAAACAAAAACCACTGTGCTATTTTCTCTGTCCTCCATGGTTTCTGATGATAAATCTGCTATCATTAGAACTGTTTTTCCCCTATAGGTAGGGTGCCATTTTTTTGCTGCTTTCAAGATTTTTTTTCTTTCACGTTCAGACATTTGACCATACAGAGGTTTGTCATCACATGGATTTGTTTGGGTTTAACCTCTTTGGGGCTGTTTTCAATCTGTAGGTTTATATACTTTTTGCCACATTTAAGAATTTTTCAGCCATTACTTCTTTGAGTATTTTTCACAGCCATTCCTTTTTCCTCTCCTTCTAGGACTTATGATGAATATAACATAGTTATAACAAAAGTATAACATCAGCTTTTGTTATAGTCCTATAGGTCCCTGAGGCAGTGTTCATTTGTTTCCTCAATTTTCTCTCTGCAGTTTAGACTAAGTAGTTACTACTATTGTTCTATTATCCAGTTCACTATTTCTTTCCTTTATCTCCATTCTGCTGTTGAGCCCATTCACTAAGTTTTTTTTTCCAGTGTACAAAGAGCTTTGAAAGAGTTTTAAAATTCCTCAATTACTGTATTTTTTCAGTTTTAAAATTCCTATTTGGTTCCTTTTTTACATTTTGCATTCCTTTTGCTCAAATTGTTTGTTTGCTAAGACTCTTTTGTTTCAAGCATGTTCCTTGTTTGTTGAGGCATTTTCATGATTGCTGTATTGAAATCTTTGTAAGATAATTCAAACATCACTGCCATTTCACTGTTGGCACCTATTACCTTTTTTTTTTTTTCATTCAATTTAAGATCTTCCTGGTTCTAGGTATGATGAATGATTTTCTATTGAAACATGGGTATTTTAGATACTATTTTATGAGACTCTGGGTCTTATTTAAACCACTGCTTTAGTTGGCTTCCTCTGACTCCACTCCAAAAAGGGAAATGGTGGTGGTAGGGTGCTACTTCATTATTGCCTGGGGATGGTGGAAGCAGAGCCACAATTTTTTCTCTGATATTTGGCTACAGAATGGTTACTTTCTAAGAGTGTTCTGACTTGTGAACACTGTTCTGACCTGCCTATTTCCTGGTTCTCTGGCTAGAAAACTTTTTTTCTGCGCCTGTCGACCTTTCTAGGTTGCCTGTTTCTCTAGCACCCAGTCTTGGGTATGTGGCAAAAAGAAAACTAAGGGAAATCATCACTATGTCATTCCTCTGGCACCAAGTTTTATAGCTGGTGTGTAGTAGGCTATACCATCTAGGCTTATGTAAGTACACTCTATGATGCTCACATGACAATGAAATCACCTGGTGACATATTTCTCAGAATGTATCCCTGTTGTCAAGCAACGCATGACTGTATAATATTTTACCTAAGAAAGAATTCTTCAGTGAAAATATCAATGCTGTAGAATTACTGTGGTCAATTTCTATGTTCAAGGGTTAATCAGAAGAGCTCCAAGTATCATTCTTTTTTTTTTTTCTTTCTTTCTTTCTTTATTATTATTATTATTATACTTTAAGTTCTAGGGTACATGTGCATAACGTGCAGGTTTGTTACATATGTATACTTGTGCCATGTTGGTGTGCTGCCCCTCTCAACTCGTCAGCACCCATCAACTCGTCATTTACATCAGGTATAACTCCCAGTGCAATCCCTCCCCCCTCCCCATGATAGGCCCCGGTGTGTGATGTCCCCCTTCCCGAGTCTAAGTGATCTCATTGTTCAGTTCCCACCTATGAGTGAGAACATGCGGTGTTTGGTTTTCTGTTCTTGCGATGGTTTGCTAAGAATGATGGTTTCCAGCTGCATCCATGTCCCTACAAAGGACACAAACTCATCCTTTTTTATGACTGCATAGTATTCCATGGTGTATATGGGCCACATTTTCTTAATCCAGTCTGTCACTGATGGACGTTTGGGTTGATTCCAAGTCTTTGCTATTGTGAATAGTGCCGCAATAAACATACGTGTGCATGTGTCTTTATAGCAGCATGATTTATAATCCTTTGGGTATATACCCAGTAATGGGATGGCTGGGTCATATGGTACATCTAGTTCTAGATCCTTGAGGAATCGCCATACTGTTTTCCATAATGGTTGAACTAGTTTACAATCCCACCAACAGTGTAAAAGTGTTCCTATTTCTCCACATCCTCTCCAGCACCTGTTGTTTCCTGACTTAATAAATATTTACTGACTGCTTACTATGTTGAAGGCACATGCTAGCTGTTTCCCAAGACCCTGACCTCTGTTATCCTTACAACAGTGATTCTTAAATCATTTTTCAGAACTACTTTCTCTAGTTGCTCTTATAAGCTGTTCTTATCCAGAAATCGGGAACTAAGCATTACTTTGGATAAACTATGACTTTTCTTAGCTTCATTACCTCTTTTTATAAAATAAGCGTAATACATTTACCTTAGAAAGGATCAACTATGTAATCATCTATTTATAATATGTATAAACACACTGCCTCCAAACACATACAGCATAAAAGAATACACTGTGTTCAGAAAAGTTCCAACAGTTCAGGTTGATCAATGGAAATAACTGAAATAATACAAATTTCATCAATAGATGAAACAGAATTCTTATGCTTTGTAAAATATTACACAGCAATACTATAATACTTTAAGCAGAAGTGGTGATGTGATAATATATTGACAGTTAAAAAAATAAATAAAATTTAAAAAATAAGCAGAAGTGGATATAAACAGCTACAAATGTTCTGGTGTCTTGAAACATTTCCAAATTTCATTAGCGTGTTCTTTATTTCCCTCCCATGCAACACAAAAAAGATTTCCCTACCATGCAACCCAAAGAACTCCAATACCTTATATCTGTGAGTACAGTGGGTTCCCAGAGAAGAAAGCCATTTTGCTCAACATAATTTGAAAGAACAGAACTACACTATCCTCCTCCATTGGCCAGACTGACTTTATATGAATGTGATTAAAATATAACTCTCAGAAACTATAGGAAATTGTTTAGAAAAATGGAGGGAGGGAAAATATGTACAAAGATGTAAGAAAGCATTCAGGCTTTAAGAGAAGGCTCAATATGATTTAAGAGTCTGACAGAAGGTAAATGTTGCAAGGCATTTCAAAGGGAAGAAATTTTCCTACTTTATGATGTTCAAAGGCCATCCGACTAAAAACTTAAAATAAATAATAAAATGAAGATATGTAAAACATTTCTATTAATTATAAAGATGAACATTTTAAAGGGCCTCTTATTTACCTCTTCTACATTGGAAGCAGTCTTAGCAGACGTTTCCATGAAGATAAGTCCATGTTCTCGTGCAAAAGCTTCACCTTCTTCTTTTTTTACTTCTCTTCTAGATTCTAAATCACTAAATATGGGAAAGAAAGGGTCACATTATTAATCAACATGGTACAAATAGAAGCATCTGTGGAAAGTGTACCATGGAATTCAAAGTTGTGATGACCATTCTTTTAATTAATTTTTAACATACTAACTGTATTATTTAGGGTATTATGAGGGTTAGTATTTAGAACACTGTCTAGTTTCTTAAGAACAATCCAACAGAAGAAAGAGTCTGTGTTAGAGTTCTAGAATGTTAGAACTAGCTGTAACTTAAGGGAGCCTCTAGTCTAATACCTTGTATCTTTGAGTACAGTGCGTTCCCAGAGAAGAAAGCCATTTTGCTCGACATAATTTGAAAGAGCAGGACTATACTATCCTCCTCCATTGGCCAGACTGACTGAGTTTCTATGAATGTGATTAAAATATAACTCTCAGAAACTATAGGAAATTAGTAAAATCCAAAGTACTAAAGATACATCATTGATCCCAGTTTGTTTAATTCCCAGTTTCTTCTTAAAGCAAAATTGATATAGACAGAGAGGGAGAAGGAGGGATGAAGCACTAGAGAGAGAAAAGGAGAAAGGGAGAGAGAGAGAAAGTATAAGCTAGAAATTTCCGATGAAAGCAGGGTATTCATTTTTATCATACTAGAATTGTATTAGTGAGGTGGCGGGGGGGAAGTAGCAGTCGCTTTTAAAGCATGTTTTATTTTAAAAGTTAAAAAACTTTACTATTTATTTCTTTTTACATAGTATTTACTATTACATGTTTATACATGAAAAAAGATGTATGATAATATCCACATACTTCCAGCTAGTCTTGACATATTATTTGCTAGATTCAGGTTTCTTTCCCCTTAAGAAATAAAATCAGCAGAATCATCACCTGTGTGTCTCTGATCCCACTCTCCTCCCTCTTACCCTAAAGGTAACCATTACCTGAATTTGGTGTTTTCATTCTCATGCATGTTTTTGCATTTATACTCATGTTTATAACCATAAATGGTATTTCTTTTTCATGTCTTTAAAAATTCAGATGTAGCTACTGTTTTACAACTTGTTAACTTTGGTCAACGTTATGTTTTTCAAATTTATGCATATAACACATGTAGATCTAGTTTATTTTTTAACTGGTGTATTATAGTCTACTGAATGAATGCAATACAACTTAAATTCTCTATGAGACAAAGTTATTTAAAATTTTTCATTATTACAAACAATGTTACAATAAGCATTTTATATATATATTTTTTGTGTATACATGTGCCAAGGCTTTTCCAGGGCAGTTTTTAAAAATTTTTTCAGAGACAAAGTCTCTCTATGTGGCTTAGACTGGTCTTGAACTCCTGGGCTCAAGTGATCCTCCCACTTTGGCCTTCCCAATTGCTAGGATTACAGGACTGAGCCACTGTGCTAAGCCTGGGTAGGATTTTTCAAACTGTGTCATGACTCAATGAATCGTAAAAATCACTCAGTAGGAAATAATCAGAATTCTTTTTAAAAAAGAAACAATAGGCCAGGTGCAGTGGCTCACACCTGTAATCCCTGCACTTTGGGAGGCTGAGGCGGGAGGGTCACCTCAGGTTAGGAGTTCAAAACCAGCCTGGCCAACATGGTGAAATCCCTTCTCTACAAAATACAAAAATTAGCTGGGTATGAGGGCGGGTGCCTGTAATCCCAGCTACTCAGGAGGATGAGGCGGGAGAATTGCTTGAACCTGGGAGGCGGAGGCTGCAGTGAGCAGAGATCATGCCACTGCATGTACTGTTTCATGGAACTTATGTATAAAGGTATAATTTATGAATATTTTGTTTTATGTGTAGGTATATACACAATTTATTTACTAGGTCATGATGTAAAATATATTTCTTACCATAGGTCAAGTCAAAAACTCAAAAGCCATAGTACTTGACTATATAGTTAGTGCAAAGTTTTAAAAATACCTCAGTTTTCCAGGCATTACATCATATTGTTGTCTTAGTTCACTCCCTCTGAATCCCACTTAAGTTGCTTAGGTTACTTAAGTATCTTTCTTTTTAATTTATGCCCCCTTTTTGTTTAGGGTTTGCATTGTAATCCTTATACTATTAAAAAACTTTCATATTTTAAACGTCTGCTTCCTATTTCTTATATAACCAATTTATTAATACAATGCCATAGTAAGAAAAATCTGTGTCATCTGTCGCTCTGACTAGGTCACTGCCCTTCACTGGCTCCCTACTGCTTAATGCCTCTAATTCAAAAATTGCTTATTCCCTGCTTTGATGTCTACCCACAATTCAATTCATCTAAAAATAATCATCTCATTTATTTCTGTCCTTCTTGTTCATTATACTCCTGATTTTAAAGGTCACCCACCTACGATCATCAGAAACATCTCTTGTTTACATACTATGCTTTGTTTATTTTTTCTCACATTTGAACTATCAGCTCCTAGTGGTCGGCAACCAAATTTAAGCCACCTGTCACTCATGCTCATCATGTTTCAGACACAAGGAAATAATCGGTAAAATAAAAGGATTAAAAATTATCTTTATTCTCCAAGTATTTTCCTCTTATTATTTCATACCTTGAATGGCAGAGTAACTATTTCCATCACAGAAAGACTAAAGCTTCCCTCCAATAGCTTCATAACCTTAAAAAGATTTAGTGAGATGATTTAAATGTGGAAAAGAATACCCAAGAAAGGCCTTCAGAGAATATAATGGTTTCTTCTCTACACAAACAAGCAATGTTTACCTTTTTATAATGTAAATATCACTTAAGTAAATATTTTCTCTTAACAGCAAATCTCACTTTCTATTAAAAGAACACTCTAAAATCTATACAGTGTAATGATGTTTTACATTATAGTTTTACAGCTTTTTTGAGGTGTAATAGACATAAAAGAAGTTGTACTTAAAAGCAAAATTTGTTTAGTTTTAAGATATGTATGCCTGTGAAGCCATCCGTTTCCCAAACGTTTCCTCAGACTCCACTGTAATCCATCCCTTCTTGCCACTGCATCCTAGGCAGCTGATGATCCGCTCTCTGCCACTACAGATTAGTCCGCATTTACTAGGATTTTTATATAAACGTAATCACATGGTATTTTTGGTCTGAGTTTTTTACTCTGTAATTATTTTGAGAATCATCCATTTTGCTGCATGTATCAATAGTTCATTCCTCTTTATAGCTGAGCCGTAGTCTGTGGTAAGGCTATATCACTATTTTTCCATTCATCTGTTAATTGATATTTGAGTTGTTTCCAGTTTGGGGCTATTACAAATAAAGCTGGTATGAGTATTTGTACATAATTCTGTGGACATATGAAGACATATTTATGTTGTGTAAACATCTGGGAGTAAAATGGCTAGGAAATACAGATGTGTGTTTCTTTTTTTGAGACAGGGTCTTGCTTTGTGGCCTAGCCTGGAATACAGTGGCGTGATCACGGTTCTCTGCAGCCTCGACCTCTCAGGCTTAAGTGATCCTACCCCCTCAGCCTCTGGAGTAGTAGCTGGGACTTTAAGTATGCACCACCATGTTCTGCTACTTATTTTAAAAATTTATTATTTTTGTATAGACGAAGTCTCCCTACATTGCCCAGGCTGGTGTCAAACTACTAGGCTCAAGTAATCCTCCCGCCTCGGCCTGCTAATTTCTAAAGAAACTACCAAATTGTTTTCCAAAGTGATTGTATCATTTTATGTTCCCATCAGTAGTATATCTTCTGTAGTGAACTGCTGGTTCAAATCTTTTGTTCATTTTTAAAAACTGGATGTCTTCTTATTAATGAATTATAAGCATTCTTCATATATTCTAGACATAAATCCTTTGTCAGTTATATGTTTCACAAATATTTCCTCTCAGTCTGTAGCTTGCCTCTTCATTTTTGTAACTGTTTTTCTTCAAATTTATTTATTTAAATTGATAGATAAAATTGCATATATTTATCATGCAGAACATACTGTTTTGAAGTATATATATACTGCAGAATGGCTAAATCTAGCTAATTTGCATTATTTCACAGTTATTTTTTGTGGTGAGAACACTTAACATCCACTCTTTCAGCATTTTTCCAGAATGCACTATATCACCATTAACCATGTCACGATGTTGTATAATAGTGTAACTGTCTTTTGAAGAACAAAGTTTTAAATTCAGTTAAACAGCAATTTATTGATTTTTTTCTGTTTAAAGTTCATGCTTTTTTCTGTCCCATTTAAGAAATGTTTGCCAAAATAGGGTCACTAAAATTTGTTTTCTTTAGAAATTTTAAGTAGTTTTAGCTCTTACACTTAGGTCTATGATCCACTTCCAGTTAATTTTTGTATATGGTATAATGTAAGGGTTGAGGTTCATATTTTTACACACGACTATTAACTGATTCAGCACCATTTGATGAAAAGATTACCCCTTCTTCAACTAAGTTAGCATCTCTGTCAAAAAATTAATATATCATATATATCATTAATATATCATGAATCTACTTCTGGAATTTCTTATTCAGCTCTGCTGATCTATGTCTGCTTATGCCAAACAATATTAAATTGATTATAGTATAATAAATCTTAAAATTTGTAGAATAGTAAATTCTCTTCAATATTGTGCCTCTTTGTCAAAGCTGATTTGGCTATTCGGTGGACTTTGCATTTTCATAGAACTTTAAAGTAAGCTTGTCAATATCTACACTCCGAAAAAAAGTCTGCCAACATTTGATAGTTTGATTAGGGTTACAATGAAACCTTTTTTTTCCCCTTGGAGACAGTCTCGCTTTTTTGCCCAAGCTGGAGTGCAGTTGGCGCAATCATAGCTCACTGCAACCTTGAGCTCCTGGATTCAAGCAATCCTCTCACCTCTGTTTTCTAAGTAGAGCTAAAGGCGTGTACCAGCAAGCCTAGCTAGTTTTTTTTTTAAATTATTATTATATTTTTTGTACAGACAAGATCTTGCTACATTCCCAGGTTTGTCTTGAACTCCTTGCCTCATGTGATCCTCCTGCCTTGGCCTCTCAAAGTGCTGGGATTACAGATGTGAACCACTGTACCTGGCCTTCAATGAATTTTTACATAAATTTGAGAAGACATCTTATATTTAGTCTTACAATCCATGAACATGGTTATATCTCTTTATTTATTTAGTCTGTTTACAATATTCTCTTTATCTTTTTATTTATAGTGATGTCAACCTTTCTTTCCTGATATTGCTAATGTTTGTCTTTTTCCCTGATCAGTATCTATTTTATTTTATCTTCTGAAGAACTAGCTTTTGGTTTCATTGGTTTTCTCTTTCTCTTTTTTTTCACGGGCAGGAGGCTTTCCTTGAGTTTGATTTGCTCTTATTCCAGTTTCTTAAGGCAAAAAAATTATGCTATTTTCTTTGTTTTTTTTTTTGAGACAAAGTCTTGCTCAGTTGCCCAGGCTGGAGGAGTACAGTGGCATGAACAGAGTTCACTGCAGCCTCAACTGGGCTCAAGTGATTATCCCACCTCAGCCTCCCGAGTATCTGGAACCACAGGAATGCACCATCATGTCTGGCTAAATTTTATAATTTTTTGTAGAGATTGAGTCTCCCTGTGTTGCCCAGGCTGATCTTGAACTCCTGGGATCAAGCAATCCTCCACCTGGGCCTCCCAAACTGTTGGGATCACAGGTGTGAGCCACTGTACCTGGCCTAGGCTGTTCATTTAAATATTTTCTTAATAGTACTATTTTAATTGCATCTCACACATTTTCAAAGATTGCAGAGAGAGAAGTTAACTTGTGGGAATAAATGCAAATAATTCCTGTCCATGGAAACGCAGACTGTGTCCTGTGGAATAAAATTAATACCCTGTTAATATTGTTCAGTTTTGCATCCATCTTGTAAATGCATTTCAGTATTCCTTATTTGATTATAAATGTGTGGTACTTTGAGTTCCCTTCTGAACTGGTTGAAATATCTTACCAGTTTCCTTATCTTGTTAATTAATGAGATAAAAGTTTCTAGATGTCCTCATTATCACATAAGTCATGATTTTGCCTATCTAATATTAATATAACCCTAAAGAAGGAATGGGCTGGGTATGGTGGCTTATACCTGTAACCCCACTACTTTTGGAGGCCCAGGTGGGAGAATCACTTGAGGTTAGGAGCCTGAGACCAGCTTGGGCACAAAGTGAGACCCTTACTTTATAAGAAATAAAAAGACTAACTGGGGGTGGTCATGCATGCCTATAGTCTCAGCTACTTGGGAGGCTGAGGCAGGAGGATTCCCTTGAGCCCAGGAGGCCGAGCTGCAGTAAGCCATGATCACACCACTGCACTCCAGCCTGGGTAATAGAGATCCTGTCTCAAACAAAAGAAACAAAACAAAATAAAACAAAAAGAATGGTGCCTAGCATTTTGAAAATACTAATATTTTCTTACCACTGTAAGTTTCTACAAAAATTAGTGAAAACTTTCCCATACTCTTGGAAGTTTATGGAAACTGGTCAAGCAAGAAGGTTTTCTCATATTTTAAATGGACAGCACAAAGATGTTCAATCCACCTGCTCAAATAATCAGTAGGTTTTAACTTTACATCAGGAATCTGATAAAACTTCTTCAGATTACTTTTTAAAGTACTTCTTTACACAAAAACTATTTCAAATAATAACAGTAATAATTTCCAAGAAAGTTTATTATCATCATTTTAAAAATCAAAAGAAACACCTTAGAATTTCTGAAATTTTATAACTTAAGAGGCTGGTAACTCACAGTTGAACACATGTTAAGGAAAGTAGTCAAATAAACAGTACAGTCTTCATCACTAATGCAATGTAAACTCTAAATTAGCCTTTTTACCTTTTATTTCCAATAAGCATAATGACCATGTTGGAATTGGAATGCTGGCGGGCATCTTCTAACCAGGTTGTCAAGTGGTTGAATGTATCTCTCCTAAACATAAATAATAATTTAATTACTATGTTCAAAGCATTTCCCTCAGTATACAACGAACAATATACACATTATTAAAAGAGAACCATTTTTAGCCACATCCACGTATGTAACGAGAAGTAGTTTTAAGCACCATATCTGCGTTTAGAGTTCACTGATTACATTTCAGTTTATAAATTTAATGTAATCACACTTCAGAAAATTCCAATGAATAAATAATATTGCCAATTTCAATTTGAAGGTGCTAATTCAAATAAAAACAATTCAGGTGCAGGTTTCTGTAGTAAATTTAAATTGGACTCAAGACGCAGTTTTAAAGGTGAGTAGCCAGGGCAGAAAGGCTAAGCTGTTCTTTCATCACTGTTAACCACATTTATTTAGAAAAATTCTCTGTATCGACTACTGAATTGCAAAGTTTTCAAGTTCTCACCGTGTAATATCGTAAACTAGTAAAGCTCCTGCTGCACCTCTGTAATACGACCTTGTGATGGAACGAAAGGATTCTTGCCCTGCCTGTGACGAAAGAAAAGGTTGGAGAGTTTCCTTTAATACAATGTCCTCTATATTTTTATATTATTCATATACAGAATACAGGCAGGTAGGGAAGGAGTGCATAAAGGGAGAGAAGAAAACTTAACTTCATCAGTCTTAGGAAAAAGTTACAAAATACCACTATTGCTCAAGATTGCTCAAGTCAACCAGACGCACATGTAGTGCACACACAGTCGCTCCTGCAACCTCTCCACCCCGCAAGACCTCTAAACCCTTTTTGGCAATCCCTGACAACCCAATTTACTGAATGGCTTCACAATACATGAATCATTATTAAAGGACAGAATGGACTCCTAGCAACTAAGCTCTGAAGACAAATTTGAAAGGAAGCAAATAACCCAGAGCCTCACATTTGAATTCAATAACCCACTCCCTGGGGCAGCTGTTGACACTAGAATAAATAAAGCCCATTGTAAATAAATGATGAATGACATCTTTACGCCCACCATCTGCTGGTGTAAAGGTTGTTGGAAGGCCAAGGATGCAGATTTTATCAGTTATATCATAAACTGCAGTGAGCTTTCAACAGTCATCAAATGGAATTCTTTGAGCAATCATTTTATTATGAAAAACAAAATGGTTCTGAATTTAATTTATATAAGTTTTTTCTCCACACTTAATCAATTTTCTCTGTATTTGATACATAACGCTTGTCAAAAGGCAACAGGATGTAAAAGTCATCTTTACATCCACTTGTGAAACAGACACAAGAGATTATGCAAAGCTAGGTGATTTCTCTTTTACTCGTGGTACTAATTTCTGTTTTTTTAAGAATTGCTGGGGAGGAATGTGACTGTTGTCTCTGAGTTTAAAACTGGACAGCTCTTATAAGAAGTTATTTTTCATTTTTAATCCCTTCTTTTTCTATTTTTGCAAAAATGTAAGCATTTTAATTAAGTAAACGTAAAGCCAATTTTAACGATTTTTATATTCAAAATTCCCTAACTTGAAAAATATTGACGTTTACACATTCTGAGTTCTGATCTTGCAATGGAAGTATTTAGCCCTTCCCACCCTCAGAATGCGCATGTTTAACACTCAACATTCTACAATACCTTGCTCTTCTTGGCCCTTCTTCTACACTCCCTCCCTCCCTGACCCCCTGCATGTGGCTAAGTGTGTGCTAGGCACTGGGTCTGGCACATAGCAGGCATTCAGAGAAAGCCTGTTGAGTGAAAAAATGGAAACACAGGCCGGGCATGGTGGCTCATGCATGTAATCCCAGCACTTTGGGAGGCCATGGCTGGTGGATGGCTTGAGCCTGGGAGTTTAACCCATTTATGCCTAGTCTTCCATTATTGGAATGCTAAGCTTGTGGGAGTTATTTATATCCTACTGCTCAAGGTCACTGACAAGGTCTGATTTTTCACAAAAAAAATTTGCAACCTCCTGCATAAATGGGTTAAGACCAGCCTGGGCAACATGGCAAAACCCTGTCTCTACTAAAAATACAAAAATTAGCCCAGTGTGGTGGCACGCCAAGCTACTTGGGAGGCTGAGGGAGGAGGATCTTCTGAGCCCAGGTGAGAAGGTTGCCGTGAGATGTAACTGCACCACTGTACTCCAGCCTTGCTAACAGAGCAACACCTGGTCTCCAAAAACAAAAACAAAAACAAAAAACCAACAAAAAAGTGAAAGAAGAAATCCTAATGTCTTAGTTATACGCACAAAATAATCAGTACTCCATCCCATGTAGCTGAGTGGACATCTGTAAATCCTAACATGCTAAGATTCAATGCAAATAACTTCTCCCATGTGGAAACTAACAATTAGACCCTCTCTTGGCTAGGCAATTTTGGTAGTTAGAATAATATCATGCTAAATTAGATAGTGAGAGAGCCATCACATAAAAGGGCTTTATAAAAATAGCCAAATCATTTCACAGAGCTTAGGTTAAACTGAAGACAGCTGGGTATAGTGGCTCATGTCACTTTGGGAGGCTGAGGCAGGAGTATTGCTTGAGGCCAGGAGTTCAAAACCAGCCTGGCTAACATGGCGAGTCCCCATCCCTACAGAAAAATTTTCAAAATTAGCTGGGTGTTGTGGCTCACACATGCAGTCCCAGCCACTTGGGAGGCTGAAGCAGGAGGATCACTTGAGCCTAGGAGTTCAAGGCTACAGTGAGCTATAATCACACCACTGCACTCCAGCCTGGGCAACAGATGAGACCCTGTCTCTTAAAAAAAAAAAAAAAAGAAAAACAACAACAACAACAACAACAAAACCCCAAAAAACTAGAAGATACCATGTTTTTATTTTAAATTCATTGTTTTTTAAAATTTTTTATTTTTATTTTTTTACAGAATTTTTTTTATAGAGACCAGGTTTTACCATGTTGCCCAGGGTGGTCTCAAACTACTGGACTTTAAGCAATCAACCTGCCTCGGTCTCCTAAAAGTGCTGGGGTTACAGGTGTGAGCCACTGTTTCAGGCCAAATTCACTGTTCTGAAGGCACGCTGGCAGGAAATATCTTCTTTCACTGCTTAGCACAGGAAAACTAAGGACTAGATCTTTAGGGATTAATTTCACTGTAAATCCTATGTATCAAGAAAGGATTCTGTGTTAGGTACAGTAGTTCCCCCCTTATTTGAGGTTTTGCTTTCTGAGGTTTCAGTTATTGGTGGTCAACTGCAGTCTGAAAATATTAAATGGAAAAGTCCAGAAATAATAATTCCTAAGTTTTAAATTGTACACTCTTCTGAGTAGTGTGATAAAAGTCTCCCACTGTCCTGCTGCTCTGTGCTCCTGGGGATGTGAACCATCCCTTTGTCCAGCCTATCGTCACTGTATACACTACACTACCTGCCTGGTAGTCACTTAGTACAGGCTGAGCACTCCTTATCCAAAATGCTTTGAACCAGAAGTGTTTCCGATTTTAGAATATTTGCATTACACTTATCAGTTGAGCATCCCTAATCTGAAAACGAAAATTCAAAATGCACCAAAGAGCATCTCCTCTGAGGGTCATGTGAAAGCTCAAGAGGTTTGGGATTTTCAAATTACGGTGCTTAAACTGCAGCTGTCTCTGTTATGGGATCGAAAAACTAGTATATATAGAGTTCAGCACTATCTGCAATTTCAGGCATCTTCTGGGGGTGTTAGCATCTATTCTTCATGGATAAGGAGGAAATACTGTAATACAAAAAAGATACGTATTTTGTTAGTTCAAAATAAAAATCAGGTTTACAGCTCAAATATCGCCCATGGCTGATCATTAAGCAAAGGTAAAGTCCTTTAAAACAATCTCTCCAGGGACATTCTGTGCGATGAATTAAAATGAACACATTGCTAGAAAAGCACTACTATAAGATCTAAAATTTCCAGTTTAGAGCCTAGATAAAAGAGTAAAAGACAAAATAAATTTAGGAAAAGGAGAAAGGCAAACTTTCATAACCATTCTCATTCCTTCTGAACTGTTTTGCAAAGAACAAAACATGTTCCAATATGGAAATAACTTACACAATAATCTACACTTCTGTTCATTACAAAATTAAACAAAAACTCGAGTAAATAAAAAAACACAATTCCCACTGAAGACTATGACTGTAGCTATGCATCTTAAGATCTATGGTTATTTTATAATAAATAAAGATGAATATTCAGAAGAGTTTACAAATTCTTGAGAACTTACTTATCTGAAAACTATCACAACTCTGGCCTATTCTCTTATGGCTTCTCTAACTATAAACAAACTGTTATAAAACAACTAACTGAATAAAGTTAGCCCAAAGGTTAACTACCTTGACGTATTAAAGCAAAGTAATCTGATTTTTAAAAAGTACCTTAGGCTGGGCACGGTGGCTCACACCTGTAATCCCAGCACTTTGGGAGGCCGAGACGGGCAGATCACAAGGTCAGGAGTTGGAGACCAGCCTGACCAACTGGTAAAAACCTCTCTCTACTAAAAAATACAAAAATTAGCTAGGTGTGGTGGTGCACACCTGTAATCCTAGCTACTCCTACTCGGGAGGCTGGGGCAGGAGAATCACTTGAAGCCAGAAGGCGGAGACTGCAGTGAGCCAAGATCATGCCATTGCACTCCAGCCTAGGCAACAGAGCGACGCTGTGTCTTGGAGGGGGAAAAAAAAAGTACTTTAATATATAACTATCCAAACTCGGCTGACCTACATTGTTTTAAGTGAAACTTTTTGTTAACTTAGGGCTGGGCGTGGTGGCTCATGCCTATAATCCCAGCACTTTGGGAGGCCAAGGCGGACAGATCACGAGGTCAGGAGCTCGAGACCAGCCTGGCCAACATGGTGAAACCCCGTCTCTACAAAAAATACAAAATTAGCCAGGCGTGGTGGCATGTGCCTACAATCCCAGCTATTCTGGAGGCTGAGGCAGGAGAATCACTTCAACCCAGGAGGCGGAGGCTGCAGTGAGCTGAGATTGCGCCACGGCACTCTAGCCTGGGCGACAGAGCTGGACTCTGTCTCCAGAACAAAACAAAACAAAACAAAACAATTCACAAAATACTCAGACATACAAAAAAGTAAAGCAGAACAAGTCTGCCTAAGAGATAAAGAACATGCTCATTTTTAGTGATGCTTAATATTAAATCAGAGTCATGGAACATCTGTGCAAAAGAAGTCTTACACCTTCATCTTTCATGTGAGGATTGCCAAATCAAAATTGATCCTTTGCATCATAATTTTAAAACTTATTTCTAACTGCCAGATAAAAAATCCCCCAAATTGGCTTTCCCATGCATCTAAATCTTTTGGTGAATAGCAGTATTTGTAGTAACCATGCTGGCAACTAGTAGTCATCTTTACCTCTTCTTCCTCTTCTACTCCTATAAAATATAACTTTATACATATTAAGCTATAGTTCAAAAATCTCTAACTACCCTGAATTAAAGTCCTAAGCTCTTGAGAATCAGATCTCTATTTATCTCACATGAATTTTTTCTTATTCAATCAAAGTCTTATTCATACAAGTCCATTTTTTTCTACTG